ATCAAATTAAATATTTTATGGCTCGAATTAAATAATACAATTTTTCAAACGAGCTCTGGTTTGATTAACTAGTTTTAAAATCAGGATAAAAATCAACCGTAAATGGGGATTTTATCTTTACAAAACACTGCATAGTAATCAACTTATTATTTAGATTAATTTAGCTTATTATTTCGATGTTAATTATTTAGCTTTCTAACTTGACGTACATGTTATTTTCTATTTATTTCTTTAATCCAAGAATATTTATATATTTTCAACACAATTAGTTAACGGTAATTATTAGCAACAACTGTTTGGGTTCCAATCAGGCTTTGTAATTGCCAATTATTTAGTAAAGCTCATTATTTAATTGCAGTGGTCCTCTGTTCTTACGGGGTGCTTCACTATGCTGGTGAAATGTTTACAATTAATTTACAGTTTTTTTTTTTTATTTAGAATAGGGCAATGGAATTTAACCAAATCCAATAGGAAAACATTTACTTAAATTACTTATTGTTCGTTTTTCATTCCATTGATAATCCTTGATTCCCTAGGAAAAAAGGTTGTGAATTTTTATATACACATTTTTAAACCATTTTATTCTATATTTACTTTGAATGGAATGATGTAAGGGGCAAATGGTCTTAATCTGTCTTAACACCAATAGTAAACTTAATATTTTTTATTACATAAGTTCCATCGATTTCTTTTTTTTTAGTTTGGCTGTAAAGCTTTGACGTATAGGTATTGAGTACACTTAGGATTTCAAAATTCGTAATTTTTATCCCACATTTAGTTTGTTAGCTAATTTAGCAAGTACTGAAACATTTTATCAAGTTACGTTTTAATTGAAGACATTATCAAGTACTTTGGCAATTGAGTTAACCTTCAAATAATTCAAATTGAATGCTTGATTTACATGCTATAATATTGTAATATGAAAACTGTATTATTTATATTCCTTTGTTAATTTCACACTAACAGTAAAAACATCAAAGAGATACATTTTAAAACTGAAATAAAGTTGCTAAAACAAAATAACCTCAATGAGAGATTAACTAACTAAACGTATTATCAACGCTAGGCAGGGTAGTACACTTTTATGTTATGTTTATTGCACTTTGAAGCGGTCAAAGTGGAACTGAAACGGCTGCTTGTACCGACATAAATGTAGGTTAGAGAGAACAAGTAATAACAGTCAACAGCTGCCATTATAGTTCACTTGACCAACACTCCGCTCTCCGGCCGCTTAGGGGAGAATTGTAAACGCTTTTGGACTTCCCACCTTTCCTTACTAACTAGCCGTCTCACCTCTGTATTTTACTTTTTAATATTTTATTGAATATTTAACTGACTTAATAGCAGATCGTAATTATTTGATTCAAATACATTACTGGTTGGCAATGTAAGCAATGTCCTGTTAGGTCTCATAGGTCTCTTAGGTCTCTTTATGTTATTTTTACTAAGTTTATTGTATTTTTGTCACAATTAAATAGCCAATAACTAGGTAAAATTATTTTTACACCTTGCTCCCAATAAGGGTAGCCTTCTGTTGCATTCACATATATATTCAATAGTAAACTGTAACTGTTTGAAGCAGTCACGCAATCGATCACCATGTCCAAAGTGTCATTGGGTAGGCCATGGCACGCTTATTTGCAATCAAGTAAAAATATGTTTGGAATGTTACCAATGACTCGAGTAATATCACGTCAAAGTTAAAAACTTTCCTATTTACATTAGGGGAACGTATCAGTGGGTGCGTGCTTCAGACAGTTCTTCTTTGTGGCAACATTACACAGACCCTACTAGTGGTACCTCTCGATGGAGCAATGGGTCAGATCTGTCACATTATAGCAAGATATCAAATAACTCACACTAAAAGGTTTTGAACGCTCTGGTATCCGAAGTAAAATGTATGCCTTAAAGCGTCTGGATTATTGGACGCTGGAAACTCACCCAAAATTCCAAGACGATGAAATCATGATACAAAGAAAATCTTACCGGCTCTGATGACCTTGTTGACATGATATACCGCCATCTCTTGTATGAAAATGAAGACTGATACGAAATTAATAGTGCAATAAATCTTCCTGAACAGTGCCACTAATATAGCAGCGATAAGACAGTTACGGAATAAGACAACATATTTGTCAACTAATAAATAAGAAATTTTACTGAATTTGTCAAAACACTGCAAAGATGGAATATTTAATAAATATGGATAAATTTAAAAAGCATCAAATTTACAATCTATAAATATCCTCTGCAGTTATACTGCTGAAGAATATTTAACTAACTGAACGGTTGGGTAGTTACAAAGTTTTTTGTACAACAAATTTACAAGAATAGACATGTTTTAATAGAATATAATTAAAATTCCATTGTCCTCTGGAAAGTTTTTCAATTAACATTTAAGCTCAGCTTGAACCGTCTTCAAAGGGAGTCGTGATGGAGATGCCTTTCTGAGTATAACAGAAAATTAACATTAGGCTCGTCTTCAATAATAAAACACTTTCTGTCCAAATGACAATCTCAGACCTAAAAGATTAAATTTCGTTTACAATTTATAGAACGCTTTTCATTTAGAATATTCTTCGTGTGTTTCTTTTCATGAGTATACCTTTTTTAGTGTTTCTTGTCTCAACATTGCTGTGTTTTTATTTTTATTGATTAAATAAACTGCTTTTGGCGGAAACCTTCCTCTCGTATTAACCCAACGACAGGACTTAAAATTTGTTTACATATTAGGTTTATTCAGCTTAAATAGGTGTTTACTAACGTATAATTTAATTTTAATTGCGTAAATCATCCAAGCTCTAAATAAAAATTCACATTATAGACTAGGAAATATTTTTCAATGTATTTCCTTTTAGTGAGATAACAAACTCCTGACTGCACGATTTGTATTCCTCTTGCAATTTCATTTGCTGTTTAATTTTAGGGTGTGCCAGCAGAAAGAAATTGTTTCCGAATTTCTAAATTTTCTATTTAATTGATTCTCTATTTCTTTTACAAACTCCAAACATAAAAAAAAACATATGAATTAAAAAAGACATGAACCTTTTATACTTCTCTTTATTCAGTTATATTCTTGTTTACAACATTTTCCATGGTAGAAAACTGTGAAGACATTTCACAGGTGCATACCCTGCACACATTTCTTACTTCAAAGTGTATTTGACTGAAATTTATGACAAAAACGAATTAAAACAATCGCAAATATCGTTTTTCGTAGGTTTTAACAGTTATCTTAAAAAAAGAGTGAAGACAAAATCAAACAAGTTTTTGTCCAGACGGGTAGAGGCTACATGGGTTTGTGATTGGAAGGGGTGGTTTGGACTGATTGGGGCAATTGGGAGTTTTATATCCCCCTGTACACCGCATACTCGTCCACCCCACCACAAACCGGTCGTTATCCGAAGCGTAACCTCCACAGGTTGTATACTCTTTTACCCCACCCTGTACGTAATGTATTCTAAATATTCTTTAGAAGATTCTGTAATTTGAATTTATGCTTTATTGATATAGCGCTCAGACAGTTTTAAAGTACATTAATTTAATTAATAGTCCATTCCACTGACGCTAAAAAGAATTTATGCTACGTTTGAAGTTCGCTTTGGAGAACGCATTTCAGACCATTCAAAGACACGTGGAAAATTCTAGAAAAGGAACGTGTCCCTCTAGTATTGTACTTCAAAGTACCATAAAGTAAGTTGAAAAGGGTATTATTTTGTTCAAACCCAATCCATTTTAAGTTATGTATTATCCAACATTTTATCAATAGATGCCGTTTTTAATTCGTGTTTTTAATTCAATATAATGATATTTATTATATAAATAGCACATCATAATTATAAGTTATTTGTCAAATGTTAAAAGATAGAAAGATAGGGGAAGATAAATACGTGTAATGAATTTAAAAATACAAGCATTCCACGTTCTATTTGCACATTGACAGTTTTCATCTGGTTACTGTGATTTTTGTAGAGATGGCTAATGAATATAGAACACAACGTGTAGTAGGCTTTTGAAAAATACTAGATTCCAATTTTAAATAAAATCCAAGTTCATGTTCGTGAAAATTTTGTTTGAGTATCAGACATAGCAAACTACTATTTGCTTTTCTTTTGTCGTATCACATAAAACAATTATTACGTGTAACCCTGCAACATCATCGTATAAAGAGTGGCTTTAACAAAATGTGTTAAGAAAACTTCTGCCCAAAACTAATTTGATGCTTCTTGAAACCAAAGAATTAAAGGGGAGAGTCTTGTGGTCCGTGAGTCAGTGTGGATGATCCATCAACATCCATCCACATGAAGATGAATGTTGTACATTATCTGAAAGTATTCCGCTTTGTTGATACTTTTGGTCATGTTTTGGATATGTGTTTGGAGTGTAAATTTAGGCCCTTAATTATGTTTTATCATGGATAAACATCAAATATCAATTTAAGGTGTTCCTAATTTAAAATAGTGTCTATAATGACTAAACCCAATTGAACATTTATTACTGGTTAGTCTGAAAATGATCCATCCTAATATTTCTTACACTTTTATCATTTTATAGTCTCGGGCCAAGCTAACTTAAAGATAAAGCTTTTATTGATTTCCTTTTGATACCTCTACAATGTACAGCTGGATGGGCGAACACTAGGATTGAAGGAAGCTCAATATATGAAAATTTATATAAAACGTTTATTCAGTATTACAGTATAATGTGCAGTATATACGCATCCAGGCACAATATTTACTAAATTAACCACTCGTTGTTTCGTTTACTAAGTACTTTTTGTAAATGTACACAGTCAAGCAAGTGAAATGTAGCTTTTTTTTGAAAATTTTAAATACAACCAACTTTGCAAAGTTCGTGGTGGCATTCCTACCATCACTTACGTTTCTTAGGGATTTTTCCATCGCGTTTTTAAAATAATGGATTAAAATAGGTTCTGACTACTGAACATCATATGTTTCCGCGAGCTCGACTGTTTCTCATGTCTTATGCCTGTGTTTCAGGCGAGGTGGAGAGACTTCTTCGCGAGTATCGCCAAAACCAGGAGCTTGTGCGGAACATTGGGGCCAACTACTACCAGATCATCTACCCCGTACAGCTTCGGCACCACGAGAAGATGGGCATCTCCACGCGGGAGGTAGGAGCTGGCAAGGTGAGTCTACAATCAGCTTCACCTTAACCTTGACACGACCTTGTGCTAGGATTGAATAGCTTTGAGCTATCATGTGTTAACATTATTCCAATCTCCAATAAAGCTGTAGACAAGCCTTGGTTGACACTGAGCTTTCCTAGAAGTTACCTGGTGCTAACATTGTGTCAAACTAGAATTAATCTTCAGTTAATCTTGAGTTCATTCTAAACCTTGATCATTGTTAATCTTGAGCCTTGAGTAAATTTGAAATAACATTGACATTAAATTTGCTTGCCTTGAATTACCCCTGAGCATGTGTTAACTTAAATCCAATCCTTAGTTAAGCTTCAGCTATATCAGCTAACCCAGGGATATGATTTACCTCGTCAATTGCTTCATGCTAGCCTGAAACCATGGCCTGGTTTTAAACTGATGCAAAAACTTAAAGGTAACCTTTAGTTAACCTTGAGTTATCATGATGTCCACCTAATTGGTATAACAAAAGAACTTTTGAGGGATATTAACTTTGACCCAACCTGAATCCTTGTAGATGTATTTTAAAAGCTTAGAAAAGCATATACTTTAGGAGATTTTACTAATAAAAAAATAGTGACTGACCTTGATTAACGTATATTATTTTTTCGGTAGTTTTTTATTTCCCGGTATTTTTCAGTTAAAGTGTTATGAGAATAAATACAGCAAAGCCCATGTAAAAACAATATCACGTTTATTCTGGTTGATTTGGGAATTCCAAAACATTTTACGGTTGGAAGGGCTCTTCGGTTTCACCCAGGCTTGACCTAAACGGTAGACTGAATAATTCAATTAAAAATTGTATTGTTGTAAAGCTTTGTTGAAACGGTTCAAATTTAATCGAATCATAATAAAAATGCGTCCTGTTTGCTGTAAAATAAAATACATATTTTTACAATTTGACATGTCGGTTGAAATCTCCTTGTGACTTGTCAATAAAACAGTTATGTGTTGAGTCTCTAAGGTCTTCATAAGAAAATCGGCCTACCATTCTGGAAATGTAAACTCTAGCTCACATCTAGTTATTAAATGATAAATTTTTGCAGTATAGTCACCGATAAGTAATTATAAATTCACTAAAATGACTGAATCTCTTTTATTTGTTTCGTGTTTGTTTTTATTCATCAAGTTTACAATTCTTTAAGACATTAATTTCTTATTCTTCCAACGAAAAATGGCATATATTGTTACAGTACAAACTTTTGAAATTGATGCGGTTTGAAGTAAATTTCTGAAGATTTGCTCTGTCGATTTTGCTTTCCAAGGTAAATCTTGCCTCAAGTAGGACTGAGACTAGGACTACAGACCGAAGTATATCCAGTACGGATTACAGGTCGATAGCTTCATTCAGCGAGGCCACTGGTGCATTGGCAAATCCACCCCTAGATTGTTTTCTCTTCAGTGGTTTCTTTTCTTCCCTAGAATATTTTGCTCGTATTTGTATATTACACAATACAACGTCGGTACGACCACTCAGGAATAGAAACTGAATTTGAACGTTCAACAAAAGGAGATTTATTAAGCTTTTATAAGAAAAGTAGACATTTTTCGGTGAAGTTTCAGATACATTTAATTATTTTTGGATGAAACAAACTTACACATCTTTACATTACCTACAGTCTGTGGATGAAAATACAGTTAGAATTGTTTAGGCATATGTGTTATATAAGTACAGCCATACCATCTCTTGCAACAGAGGGTTTCTTACTACGGATATTCTCTGAGGTTAATGCTTCTCTAAAAGAAGTCGGTTGTATATAAAATAGGTCTTGTACCTGTAAATCTTTGGAAGTACGATCCATTCGTCACTAGTGTTTTAACTTTTGTCATTGAAAAACAGTATGTGGTGTCAAGCTCAATTCGGTTGGTTTTTCATTTAAATTAAGGAAGTATTAATTTTGTGTACTCTAATTTTACTATTAATTTTCATAAAATTTACTTTTTAGAATGTTCAGTTTGGCTTATAAACGCATGTTTCAATAGTTCTTACTGTATCTCCCATTACGATTATGTCCTTTCGGGTTTAATCTAGTTAAAAACTTTCAAATAGGTCTATTATCAAAAATAGGTCAATTACTGTACTTCCCATTAGGATTATGTATCCTTTCGAGTTTAATCTAGTTAAAAACTTTAAAATGGGTCTATTATCAAAAATAGGGCAATTATAAGTTCCGTGCTCGAATTCAGAGAACTTAGCTCCAAATCGAAAGAGATTTCAAAGTTTTCAACTCGCTGGAAGAGTTTGTTTACACAAATCGTTAAGAGTTAAGAAGTTTATGTAGCCTACGCTCGAATTATTTCTAATTCACCTTGCGTCGACGATTCGCTTTAAATACATTAAGTTATAGCAGTAAATTTGTTTTCGAAGGGTTGTTTTAAATCCTATTGAAAAAAGATTCGCTCCTTCGGAGAAATGAATCCAGGGAACCGAACCATCGTCTAACTTAAATCGTACAATAAATATTTATAGATTCATAAATAAACTATTAAAATGTAATCATTGGTGATGGTTGTTTATAATCCAAAGTTCTGCTTAACACAAATTACGGATAGTATGTTATTTTTATTTCCATTTCAGCCTTTAAAAATAAACCAGCCTTGAGAGGTGATTGGAACAGTCTCAAACATTGACTTAAAATGCAGTTGTAAGCTTCGTAGGGGATAAATTACAGTACAAACCATAATATCAAACTATCAATCACCTGCCAAGACCGTCTGGACTGAGATTGCCAACGCAATGTGCGTATGACGTTAGTGTTATTCATAACCGTCACACGTCCCACCTGCTGTACTTGTGGTAATGGCAAACAAATTGATAGTTGAATACGATTTACAATAATACTTAGCAAAGGTATTTGTTAAATTTGAATTATATTGCATTTGTATCCGTGAAAACTTATTAGTTTGTTTGTTTTGTTGCTTGGCCTACTCATTCACAAATTAATATTTTTTCCTTTCACACTTTGAGTTAGTTAATACTATCCAAAATAAAATATAGGAAAAATAGGAGTACCTATTATATGGTGTTGTTTATTATCAAGTAAATAAACCAGATTCGAAATGCAATTTAACATTTTAGATTAAACGTATAGGCCTACGTGTTTTTTTTCGATATGTTACTGTATACCACACATTTGAACAAAATTGTAAAATAGCCAATTCTAATGAACTTTTGGAATTATTATCCTTTTTTGTCATAATAATTTAAATATGTTTACAGAAATAAAGAAATATTAAATTTGACAGCAAATAAATAAAGAGCAGTAAAGTAAATTGCTCTGAAGTAGTATTATGTTACATGATGAATCTTTAACATTTCAGTAACAAAGAAATTTTAAAATTTATTCCTTGGTTGGGTTTAGCTAAAGTTCTCTGATATTTGACAAAAAGTCATTGGCAGCTTTTACATATTTAAAATATTTCACTCCGTAAAAAAATCTATACCTTAATTAATTTTATTTCCAAAAACCCACATTATAGTTTTGGTGACCGCTACTACAAACTGTAATCTTTTTAATCGTATTAGTTCACACATTTTAAATCACATACAGAGCACAACACTGAGAAGGGAACCGGTAAATGGAAACGTTCATTAATTAAATGGGGCTTGGTTAGACGAGTTGTCCGCTGCCATCTAGATAATGACGATGCAAGAGCCATTGGAGACCGTGTGGGCTGGATTTGAGCGTCACAAACATAGGTAATTAATTGTTAGTTTTGCGATGGTTTTGCATTGGTCAACGTGATAAGCGCGGACTGGATTAAGTGGATGAATTAAAGGATATTTGTATTTGTGGGATACGTATTGAAAGCTATTTCCAACGGCACTCACTGGATGTTGTCATAATATACATAATGGAGTTTGTTAAGTCACTTTCAATTTAAGGACATTGTTTTTTAATATAAACACTAGTGAGTAATTTACTCCATAATTAATTTATTTTTTCATTTTTTGTTTGGGAATGGCCCACATCCTTGTCTTTTTACTACCTAACGTTGAACCTTTGCTAGATGTCATTATTCATTTATTACCAAGCTACGAATAACATATGGATCCTGAATGAATCCCGCTTAAAACAAACCAGCAATATATTTATACTGTAGTTATCAAGGTTCTTAACTTCATATCAGTACCTAATTAAAATTAGGTTTCAAATAAAGTTATACAAATACTGGTAGCAAGGAAAAGATACACAGCTTTATCTAATGTGTTCCTCGTTTCCAATGTCCAAATATTCGTTAGGGCTCTCAACACAGACACGGTTCTTTGGTTAACTTGATCAGCAAACAGTCTAAGCATTTTACAAAATAATTGTTTATTCTGTGTCCAACTTGACACACTCCACGGCTAGGTCTCAGTCAGTGACGGGTCGTGGGCGGAACTGTGTATAGGTAGCCTATGAACCAGGGTAATAACCAAGTACTTCAGTGATGCTGCAGGGCGCCACCCAGTTTCGGGGTATGATGCTGGTCGATAAACTGGGAACGTTCCAGCCCCAGGATGGTAACAGGTTTTGCAGATCTCTGTAGTATTGAGTGTCTTAACCTATGCTCCTATATACCATGAGGTTCGACAGGTCCCTAAAATCTATGTTGACTTAGCGTTGGGGTGAGTTTCAATTTTGAGAAAATTGTGAATAAAACTGGATAATTCAGGGGTTGACCCACCTACGCCCACTATAATACCCTATGACAAATACACTGGTTTTCAAAAATGACACAAGATATGACAAAATAAGCGAAGGTTTATTACAAGTAAATATTTTGCACAGACAAGCCTGACTCAAATGTCCGGTACGAAATAATAATCAATCAAAATGCTACATACAACGTTCTTCGTTCAGTATTCGTTACTACCAAGACACTTGAACCTAAAATATAACTCAAATAGGCTATTTATTTATTTACATTATTTTTTTTTTTTGTGACCAAAAGCTTTTGGAATTTCCGACTGCGCAGACGGTAGCAAAGTATATTTACAGAAAAGCAACAATTAATTTTTACTCAAAAGACAACATTAGACAAAATATATGTTCGACCGTAGTCAATAATCAATCCGACAAAGCAATAATATGACACAAAATACACAATAATAATAGACAATCTTACAATTAAACAGGGGACAACAGAGACAAAATATATCAGGTCTCTAATCAATCCGGCAGAGCATAATGTGACACAATACTAGATACACAAAAATAATAAAATAGACAATCTTAAAACTAGGCAACACCAGCGACAAATATCAAAGACACTATTACCCTTTCGGCTACAATCCGAACGATTACCGTAATCTATATATCTCTAAAAGTTAGGCCTAGCCTACAGAATATGTTGAGACGATGGTTTAGTTGCGTCTAGTTCCCTCGGCACTTGGAGTTGCACAAAATACAGTCTGAAGATAACTGGATTGAAATTTGAATGAAATTTGAATCTTGATGCACCAGAAGTTGAGTAAGTTAAGTTAAATGTCCAGAGAAATTGATTTAGTCTTTGTATTTGGCCAAATTAAAATGATTTAGTAGGCTGATAGTTGAACTGTAGTCAGATGAAAGTTACGGTAAAGGCTAGCCTAGGACTTATCAGACAGTGGAGGTCCGCTGCGATGACAGGTGGTAGGGGTGGACGTGGTCCAGGTCCACAGCCCCGTACGATGTTGGATAGGCCAAGGTTGTAAGTGGGCCAATTCTGGTAACGTCTCTCCAGCAGTAGGTCGGATCTCTCACAAGCCGTAGGTAGGATCTCTCATAAGACGTAGGTCTGAACTCTTGCAGGCCGGAACGTACACCCTGTAATTCCTCGTGAATAATTTCTGTTCTGGTTAAATATTAACAGTAGTCCTATAACTTAAGTCATGTGTTCCATGAAGGCTAGGCCTTGATTAGCTGTAATTTTAATCCATTTTGTAGTTGTTATGACAAAAGGTCATTAACAGTAAGTGAAACTAGGTCTTAAACTGTTCTTGCCTCAAGTTAGGCCTATCTTAGAACAACTGAGCAACAATTTGGTTTCTGACATTTACAAAATAAATAATTTACAAAATACATTCTTTATATTTAATTTAGTGAGCGTAGGTTGATTACATTTTCTAAGCTAAACAAGAAATATTTAAAACACTGAACTACATATGAACAAAAGCATGGTGAACAAGTACAAGGTAGGCCTAGGCCAAGAATGACAAAAATTTCTAAAAACTACTAAATATATCATTTCTTCCTTTTGGACAACCTAACCTAACTTTGAGAAATCAAAACTGATTGTAAACAAATGGTTTAAACGATTTTGCAAAATTTGAGACCATGTGACTGACTCCTGTTGCAAACTTATTGCTTTGCACCAACATGAAAATTACAAGACAATTTCTATCATAAAACAGGGAAAATGTACTTAAAACTATAAAATTATCAACATTGTTTGTGTCTTACCCACAGTTGTCTAAATTACCTACATAAGGTCAACCCTGGAATTATAATTTCGTGTTAATTTGGCTTGAGAAAAACCAAGTTCATGATGACTACGGCAATCTGTAACTTGTTTGAACAACTGGAAATGATTTTTATTACAAACAAATTAATAGAATTTGGAACCCTGAAGCAATTTAAGACTTTTTCTGGAATCCCGACTGTCTTACCTCAGTATATAAATCCTTAAGAATCTGAGGGCAAAATTGTAGACCGGCGTCCAGAAGTTGCAGAGATTTCTTGTCTCAACGATAAGTCTGATGGCGGCCAAATGAGGATGATTCAGCGTCTTCACTTTCAATCTCCACTCCAAGGTTCCGAGTCAGCTGACAGTTGTCTCGAACCACCGCTCTGATTGGTTGTCCTGACTTGTTCGAAAGCTCGCTCCGTTTCAGTACCGTACTAGCGTTGATTATGGTTTTAGGGTGTCCAACACAATTAAACTCCGCTGGATACTATATTCGGTCCACTGTGACGCGTCAAACAGTGTAGATATTTAACATGGAGTGATCAGTTCCATGACGAATAATTGGGGCGGCCTTTTAACCGTGACAAACTATTCACCGAACTCCGATACTTTTACGAGGGTGGTTCTTCTCGCAAAAGGTAAAATAATGGTTTGCAAAATTTCTAATGTATTTCTTGCTAATAGTATTAGCAGCTCAATAACATATATTCTTTGTAAGATTTAAACTGATTGCAGAATCTTCCATTTTGCCAGAAAAGGCATCTACAATCGTAAAACTAGATTATAACTAGGTAACTACATCAAATTTAAACGTAGGTCAAATTTAATATTTTTGAATAACATCAAAACTTAAAAAGTTGGCCTTCTATTGAAACTCAGTATGCAAAGTATTTAGTTTTAGTCGCAATTAATTTAGAATGAAAACATCTTATGTCTAGATAAGTGTCCTGGGTTCCAGATACTGTAACGGATCCCTAAATATCCTCCCTGGCCAACCCCAAAAACACTGTAGATCAAACACCCCTACTTATTATAGCTTAAGAACATTTCAGATTATAACAATATGGTATTGTTTAACAACACTCACTACAGCTTACTCATACAACAGTAAGAAACCCTCGAAGGTCGAAGCAAACTTATGAACTCTTCGGGAGCTTATCAAGATTTGGCAGGAACTAATATCACTATCACAACAACAATACTCTATCGTCGTACAAATAAACTACATTAGACCCTTTTTGAAATAAGGTAGTAAATCTTTATTTCCATTATCAGCACTTAAAATAATCATTATTGTAAAAAAAGCTAATCCGTTTTTAAAAGATAAAAACCTGTATAGATGGTGAGATGAATATTGAGTTGTAAACAAAAAAGTGTGCCATTATTATTGAAATATCCAACTCTAAACTGTGACCGATTCATACAACTTTTACGACTGAAAGTAAGACAATACAGTGAGCCATTAACAAATGCCTCAAGTCAAGAAAGTTGTAAAGTTTATAACTTAGTTCTCTGTTGCTGGCCTAAAGCATAAAATACAATACGACTTTGGATCGTCAACGAAGTTTTATTGTTATATGAACACGTCTTTTATTGTTTGTATAGAGTTTTGCCATTACTATAGTTTATTTAACCCTCTTTCTTGTTTATTTTCTTAAACGTTGTAGTGCTAAGATCATTTAATAGCCTCGGCATTTAAATTCGCTTCTGATTACTATATATTCGAAATTCATGTCGTGGAACTGCAATTTTGAAAAAAAGTTTCTTTTTGCCTAAAAGATACTTACCAACAAAGCTAAACAATAATAAACTATGGAGTTCGTTGTTAAATCTCAATAGCTTGCCTAAATTGTTGTCCAAAAGTATTGCATTCGTTTTTAAGAATAAAGATTTAGAAAGTAAATAGAAATTTGGCTTGGGTTACCTATTGTTCCAATTTAACAAGTATTTTTCGTCGGGTGTCTTCCTCTACAATATAAACATGAGGTTCATTAGGCTTACTGACTAAGATTAATTTAATTTTAAAGGACCATTTTCGGTTCAAGGACAAAGTATTTTTTGTCCTCTTCAGTATTTATTGATATCGGTATTTAAGATATTATTATGTAACAATCAATATTTTAGTATTGATTTTTTTTTTTTTTAATGGTCATTCGCAAAAGACTTGTTATTATAAAAAAATGTCATCTACATCGTATTGAATATTGTATATTTTCATAACTATGATCCTACTTGATACCGGATGCTTTGGGGGTTTGGGGTGGTACTGCATTATCAATTATAGCTGTGGACGAGTGGCCCATGACCTGGCATTGGTCCATGTTCTACTCATATATAACCCACGTCATTTATGGAGCGTTCCCTATCTAATCAGTAGCTTGGTTTGGAAACTGTACTTTTCCTACAGTCACCTGACAAAGTGGGCTTCCTTGTACAGAAAGCCTAACTTTGGCACACAGTTTTTACTTTGGTGCACATCAGTATTCCAACCAAACCACACAAAACAGCGTGCTTTTAATATCCGTGTATGCTTGAAAATACATATTATAACGACTTAAAGATATTACGACTACTATCAGCCGGTGCAGTGTTTCCCATTTCGTTCAATGATTGGATTTACTTAACCTAAACACGTGTTGTACAGTGTCTGAAATTATAATTATTTATATGATTCATAGTAACTGTAGGAAAAATTTAATGTGTAACACGAGTGCAAACTGCCTTTGCTGCACTCGAGAAACTTTCCACACTCGCCTACGGTCCTCCGTAAACATGTTTCCCGTGGTATTTACATAAATAACTATTGTATTAGGGTTTCAACGTGCATTCATGAACATATGAACTGACGGTTAAATAATTTAAATAACACACGTTTGTCCAAAATATTACCTAAAAGTAGTTAATATTCATTACAAGCAACACATCCGATCAAAATGGGAGGTTTTCACACAAGTTAATCATTTTCTGTCAAATATGTATTTCTACCCCACTCCTTCAATGCAGGAGGACAGGTTGTGGAGGACGCGCAGGCAATACTGAGACTAAGCAACCCAAGTAGGTTGGATAAACTTGCCATGGAGCCTAAAAAGCAAGGACTGCTATCTGGGGGTTTGTGGTCAATCCATTGGCTAGATACATTTGCGTTCGACCCATCACATGCTTCGTTATGCCAGTGATGAAACCGTCACCGAAATGGAACTGTGTGAGTTCCTCTTCCGTGTGTAACATTGGAACTGTACTGGAATAAAATGGAGTAAAATTAAAATATATATAGAAACATGTATACAGTTACTCTAGTGCTTTATCAATTTAAAAAATAATCAGTGATTGAATTTGTTTTATAATTATTGGAATACTAAACTACTGGTATAACGTTAATTCAGATAAATATGGAAATAACCTGTATTGGTCGGTTTCATTCATAAATTTTAGAATTGTAATAGAATTTGGTAAGCCTTAAGACATATTTGCTTACGCGTCACTCCCAATTGTTTTATAAACCAGTGTTTGGCTATAATTATATAAAAGTCTAATAAAGAATAATGTGTGACAGTATAAATTAAATATGTTTTTCTATTTCTACAACAAATTTATAAATTATACTAATATTGTTATTGTATCCTCTATATGCTCCTGAACCATAATTTGTATGATAAACCTTTATTAAATTCTCCTCTCTGTCACTTATGCGTAAACTAGTATTTATGTACCATTTTATCTTTGCCAATCTCTGGCGGCAGCAGTTGAGGTTTTCACCCAGCATGGATGCCAAACTGCATCGGCCACATAGAAGCCACCCACTACAGTGAGTGCATGGCTGCATTATCGATGACAAGCCCGCCTGAGTTCCATTAGCTGTATAAATGCGTCATCTGTGTCATCCCGCTATATGATACAATAACACTGGTGCGTGGAAAATGTGCAAAAGTGTTGTGGGTTGAATAAAACATAGTAAACTAACTTATTACGTTCTCACTTACGGGAGAACATTTTGATTTGCGGGGTTAAAACTTCTAGACATTAAACATCAATGAGTTAAATTGATAAGTCTGAGACATATAGTGTTTGCCTGAATACATACCTTAATGTAAAAAAAGCTTTCGAGTCAATCAAAAGTGGTTTTATGCACTTTTGTGACGCAACCCCGAAAATGAGCAATTTTTGCTTTTGTTGTGTTGTGAAAAATGTTTTCGCACGTAAAATGTCCCTAATATGTGGAAATTTTAATTAATTATAAATAAACATCAGCCAAAAGTAGCTGTGTCTTCTAGATTCCAAATGTAAAAAATTTATCCATAGCCATATCTTTCGGTGAGATATATTCTATTTATGTAGAGCATTTGGTAGACAATATTTCAAATGTTATGCATCCCCAACAATAAATGGCTATGTTAAGTACATTGTATTTACTAACCTATAGTACACTGTAAAAATCGATATACATATAAACCTGTCGTAATTATGGTTTATAATTACGCTTCTAACCTAAGTGTAACATTTAGTTATTTATATTAGATCATTGTGCTGTTATAACTGACCTGTTATTTCTCCCTTTCACAGTTCTCTCCCGTCTACACAGGAGGGAACACACAGACAGGATACGGGGGTCAGCGGGGTCGATCAAGGGTAAGTCAAAAATATTTTTAATATTTTCACTCGTTAAAATACTTTTATAACATTTAACTAACAAGTAACACACCGTAATGCAGTAATCGTAACTATAAAATTAAATTTTCCATCACATATATCAAAGTTTTGATCAAACTGTATTACGTATTCCGATACGTAACTAAGTGCATTTTGAATGTTTCCTGTTAATTCCAATATACCCGCTCCAGTGCACTGGCAAACTAATCGACGAAGAGTGGAGTAGAAAATGTTAATATCTAACTTTGAAGTAAGCAGCCCACTTTCCCTCGATAACTCCATTACAAACTTGCTATCGAAGATTGAAATGTCATGTTCGTTATCACTTGAGTTGCGCAATCTCGACAAGAAGGTTTACTGCTGAAAACTGTAAGATGGGAACTGTCAGGGTTAAACTGGGCCTAGTGATTGAATTATGATGGTTATTATGATGATATTATTATAATTAGACTTGGCCATGATTAGATTACGTACGAGACTATACAAGGAGTTTATACAAACGTCACAGAGGTAACACAGACTTTGTTGTAACGTAAAAATCATGCATCAACTTGACCAGAGTGTTAAGTCGTAACATACATGTAGTGTTCATTCAACAAAATCTCTTATTTAGTGGTGAATGTAAATTTGGAAAATGTTACGATTGCGATGCAGATATTTAGTTCATAACCAATACCCACCTAAAACGCGTGTAAGTTCCTGAAAAATTGAGAATTAACAAAAACGGGTTTCTGTCTTCAACTAAGAAAAGTCCTAGTAATTTTAAGGATTCAAACTTTATGAAAATCAATAATAGTTTAAACCCATTTCATGACATGATTTTATTTTGTCCCACTAAGGCAAGATACTGAAAAACGAAAAAAATCTTAGGAAAGCTTGACTGTTATGAAAAATTTCTTCTAGAGTTGAATAATTGTAAAAGAAAATAATTAATTCCAATGACCAGAGTACGTAATTAGAAAATCGTATTGTTTATTATTCCAAAAATTAAGGAATGTACTGTATTTTTATGGTTTGATTTCATTGAATTGCTAGTAATTTTTAATGTTGATAAAATAATCGATCAATACTAAGTACAAATGTCCTAAAACAAAGAATTAAATGAAAAAGGTACCAAGCAGAAGCACTATGAACTCTACTTTGTCAATTAAATATTCCCTCCCTTTCATCATACTGAGAATACTTTTTTCTCTTTTCCTGGACCAAACAACAAACGATCTAATAATTAATTCACAGAACTAGTAGTTTTAAAACAAAAGCAATTATCTCAAAGCACCATTGTTATTCGCTTACTTTGCTTTCTCTCTAATGTATTGGGGAAGTGGTCCATTACAAAATTGCAGACAAAACAAAGAAAACCAAAACGAACTAAAGATCTACTGCTCGCTCCTTTACTTCTTTTAAACTTTATTCGCAGCAAGAAGACTTCCTTTTCCGTTCTTTTTGCGAACAGAGTTTTCAGTTCTATTCTATAATCTATCTACTTAATTCTATTAGTTCTATCTGGTTAGTAACATTGCCTGTTCGTATCCTTATCCTAATATCTATATTTCAATGCCATTAAATTACCGATTCTAGAAGTCAAACAACCATTTTGAGAAGTTTTTCATATCTAAATGAATTAACATACTGATTCAGAAACGTGTAAAGTAATCTCGTGGTAATTTATCTTCAACTTCCCACCAATATACGTAGGAAAAAGATTATGACCACAAATTAAACAAGCTAAACTAACAATGAAAACTATAATCATGTTATGACTAAATTTAAAATTTAATAGTGCATCTTATTCAGGTCAATATTTGGCATGGCAATTTTAAGCCAATAGGTACAAACAATTTTTATCATCGTGTTTATGATTGACGTTGGTATAAATATTTTTTTATCGACTACCACCAGGACCTTAACAAAGTATAAATGAGATTGTCCAGAACTGGTGCATTTTCACAACTCGCTTCTGAGAGAACGGGACGGAAGTTGCGACACTGATAGAGCGGCGATTCTATCTCTTCCAACCTCCTTTGCTTTTCCGATCCACCTTTTTCAATTCCAGCAAGAATAATCAACATTTATTCCACTGCTTTGCTTTCTTAAATTTTAATTTTTAAATAAAATCCCCTTCACACTCGTAATGCTTTGAAATTGAAACCTCATACTACCAGTGTAATTTCAGATACGATTCTCATTAATTCCAAGTTGGTCATTACCATTAAGAATGCTAAATAAGACATAACATTTATATCAAGCTTTCAGTCTTTACGAAGCATAAATACACTTGAATACACAACATAATCGTTTCTTTAATAAACCCGAGATAAAATGTCATATATTTACAAGTTAAATAATTGGGAATAGAGTACAGTGCAATTATTAAGAACATTTTAAAATTAAATTTAGGACCATAAAACCAAGAGATGTGATAAATAGTTATTTGGTACACCTGAAGGTAATCTACTGTATTTGTGATGTTACTTTCGTCTTTTATGGTTACCTATATTGTAGTGTTTACCCTTTAATGTAACGCCTAAAAGATATTAAAACTTTGTACGTAACATAATATTTCCCAATAGCATAACATATTTTTCTGTCATAAATATGGACGTATCAAATCCCGAATGAAAATCATCTTACCAAGAGGGTAGCCTGAAACGAATTAATTCTGGAATCCAGCTTTGCTATTACTTGTGGCCTTAGGTCTCTGAAGATTAGAAATGCCCAGCTAGCTTTAGGGGTCTTGGATCAGGCCCGATTGAACATCTCAATACGTTCTCAAGATTGAAGTTCAAAGCTGCAAGCATGCGGTTTACATCCAATAATATACAGCATATGAGTTTATGTTGCGTCTTAGTAGCTTGGAAATATATCGATATCAACACTGGTAAGTATGCGTGCAGGTCAAACTTTACTTTACTTCCGATTAATAAAGTTTTATTGTTGGTTTAGTAGGTGGAGTAAACGCACTAATGTGTTCTTAAATTGACGGAACACTTTTTTCCCATAGCATAACTGTATACTACTAGTTGTAGAATTGAAATGAATCGTTAACATGTGAAAAATGAATAGAAACGTGTAGAATTTTGTGTACTAGCAATATTAAACATACTTATCAAGATAAAATGAACATACACTTTTCGTGTATTTTTCATTTTATTATAGGTTATTTTTTTTAATTTTTCAAAAACGCCAGTTTGGTACAATATGCTTTATTGTTTATTCTAAGCAATCGATAGATTTCTTCAATCTACTTTAGATAAAACTTCATAAGCTAGCCGTAGTTGTATTTTTTACCACTTGAAACAAACTCGATTGTTAAGAAAATTATGCAGGGAGACTCTTTTTGGTAATGAATTGCCAAGCAAAATATTGTAAAATTTCCATTTTACCCTGATTTTAAGTCTTAATTCAAGAAACATTACTGATTTTTTTAAAGACAGGATTAGCCTAAGATCTTGTATGATTACATTGGTACTACAAGACTGTAGCCTATTGCATTCTTCCTTGAATGAAAATTGCGGAAAGTGTTTCTACTTAAAACTCGTTTAAAGATGTCGCTTGCAATTTATAATTCTTATGTTGCATAGAGGTTTTATTTTTATCCTTTGAAGAGGATATCCTGACTGCTTCCGGCATTTGATTTGAGATTTGAGTACTATTTTCATTAAAATTTTCTATTTACAATCGAATTTCAATAACGATTTTCACGATGTACAAGCTACTGTTGCAGCATATCTACATGTTCTTTTAGCTATCGGAGCTTATTTTGCCACCTTCATTTAACCTTTAATCAGTAGTCGTATTAAAAGTTCGTTGCAATCAAATCATTATGTTCACCACCTCACACTCAAAATCGACCAATTCAATTAACACCCACTTGCAATTAAAGTAACAAATTCAATTAAAACCCTTTGGCTTTGGTGTAAACGGACAGTAAAAAACATTTTGTTTGTCGCTAGAAAAGTTCTAGAGTAATAAATTTCCAGATTTGGGCCAAAGTATTCCACTGTTTCTCGTGACAACGGTATAATTTATATCACTTCCGCGGATTCAGTGGTATCCATCATGCTTCACCCAAAGCCATAATGGTTAACGTTACTGGTGATTTTCGACGTATGATGTTTTGTTTTACGTTATAAGAGCCAAGATGGATTAAATTCTACATTGTACCTATAAAAGAAGTTATGATAATGGGAAAAACATTCACACCATCGTGGAATTTTAAGATTTATTACAGATATATAAATATAAACGAACAGTACAGTATCTTTAGGGAGCAAGCTGGTGTAGCTGTAGAAATAAGTAGGACTTAGTTCTACATCTAGGTAGGGTAGTTCTACAGCTGAGCCCCGAGGTAGGGTACAAATCCCAACGATCGCCAATAACTATTAGTTACGTGATAATGAATACTACGATTATCTGTAGTACTATCCTGATAATTACACAGATTTGTAAACTACAAGATAAAAATGTGGTTTGGATTCCACTATAAACTGTAGGTCCCTTAGTTTTCATTGGCTGTATGGGCTATTAATTAACAGTCTAAGGAATATGTTGGCCTTAATCACCAAAAAGACTACACGATCGCGCCACTCATCCTACACTTATCTCCATTCTTACTTGGCTTAAAATACCTTCGAATATTATTCTAGACCAATCTTGAAGTAATATGTGAAATAGATTTACGCTAGAACTTTTATCTATAACTTAAATACGATTACTTACTTAGAGGTAAAAGATACCTTTTAAAGAAGATTGTAGAGCAAAGATATTACAACCATGCCATTGAATAGGATAATCCAGGATAGCTCTTTGGATACGACTCTCTAAACGTATTTCTTTTTGTAGTAGTTACGTAACTTATCCTATTCGTTTTGTCTGAAATACTCATACATGCCTTGAATATTGAAATTGAAATTGTGTTTAGGAATATCTAAATACAAATATTTCATATTTAGTCTATATACAACGATTTCTTTTATATG